GAGAATATTACGTCGATTTACGACGTACCGCGTGCTTCACACGATAACTGCGTACAAGGCCCCGGTGTCCCGAGACGGGATAGCACACACCTCACGCGCGTATGATTATTGAACTTGATGCTGTTAATTTCCTTGAGATGACAAATGACCTTTTGCGACAACCGTAGTAGCGTTCACTTGAGCAGAGCCGCTAGTATCGAAACCGAATTCAGAGAGCTTAAAAACTGTTCTAAAGGCAACGTGCGTCACGATAGACCGGTACTCACAGAATGATCGAGAATCTCCGGAAGGGTCGATATCGATGTAGGAGCGCGGATAAGGTCCTGAGAGCGTGCTTATGATTGGGTGATAGCATTGCGCGAGGCTAGTTAGATTGATAGTACAGGCTTCGGGATTGGGACAAGAAGGACCAGGAAGAGAGAGAAAGACAAGAGTGAGTGAGAGGCGTCAAAGGAGCGAGATTTTCTGAACACAATGTAACATACATGTGTATTATGTGTATATACATCAGAGCTGCCAGTTCGTGGGAAATGGGAGCCCCCACCACTTACCGCGGGACTTACTAACACAGACGTAGTCGCTACGTCATAGCCTGTACGTGTAGCTTCGTGCGTGGGGGACCCCGACGCACGAAGCTACACGTACACGCTATGACGTAGCGACTACGTCTGTGTTAGTAAGTCCCGCGGTAAGTGGTGAGGGCTCCCATTTCCCACGAACTGGCAGCTCTGATGTATATACACATAATACACATGTATGTTACATTGTGTTCAGAAAATCTCGCTCCTTTGACGCCTCTCACTCACTCTTGTCTTTCTCTCTCTTCCTGGTCCTTCTTGTCCCAATCCCGAAGCCTGTACTATCAATCTAACTAGCCTCGCGCAATGCTATCACCCAATCATAAGCACGCTCTCAGGACCTTATCCGCGCTCCTACATCGATATCGACCCTTCCGGAGATTCTCGATCATTCCGTGAGTACCGGTCTTTTGTGACACCCGTCGCCATTAGGACAGTTATAAAGCTCTCTGAATTCGGATTCGTCTCGCGGTTCTGGTTAAGATAAATCTCTCGGTTCGTCTCTCAAGTAATTCGTCATCTCGGAATCAAATCAGCGGCATCGAACGTACTCAATTATTCGCGTGGGAGAGCAAGGTTCCCTATCTCAAGAACCAGAATCTGTGCGCAGTTATCAGTGTGAATCTCACGGTCCGTCTCACATCGACTGCGTGTTCTCTCGCGGTGTCCCTCGAACGCTCCGGCGGTGATTCCGGTTAGCCAAAGACCAGTTATTTTAGTTAATTGTTTTATTGTTCGTTCAACATCTCTTTTCATTTTGAGTTATTCTCTGAGGACATACAATCAAAGTAATACGCATTACATTTACTTTTCTTTCCTCCTCTTGAACGTCCTCAGCATTCCTTACTTATTAATCTTTTGTTTGTGATTATAGTAAAATTAAGAATTACTGTAGTTATAAGAATAAATCCGTATTATTTTCGTTCGAATAACTGTGAAGTGCGGTTCTTATTTATCTTTTGTGTGTGTAACATATTCGTTCTGCCCGACACTCCCGAAACCAGAACTTCTCCGGTACTTTATCAAATACATTGACATGTTTAAAATAAACTTGTATGCGCCCGAATAACTGCGCTTGGCTCACATTGCCAATTCTCATTCGTTTTAGATTTTGTTTTAATATGTAAATTGTTATATACTATTATTATTGATCATCATACAATATTTAATTGCACGTATAATTTTAACTGTAATTTAAACATATATATGTATATATGTCTATGCACAAGTATAAAATTCTCAAAAAATAGGCGCCCGTTAGTCTTTTTGCATTACTGCTTTCTGCCACGAGAGGCCAGAAAGCATTTTTAGGTCGTATCTCGACCGTAAAGCGATACGTTAAAAGAACAAGGACAGCACGTGATTGTCGCTCCTTGTCTGACATTATCTCTCAACGATCGCATCCGTGTGCTCAACGTATTAGTGTTTGTGCCTTCACGGATGCTACACACATACGCGATGAATGAGAGACAAAGACGGCGCAATCATCTTTCTTTGTCAAGCGATCAGTGTACTACCACTATCAAAAATATTGAAAAGTGGATGTAGCACGGACATGAACCACATGGAGATTTGACCAACAGTACCGAAAAAAGGATGTGAGTGTGTTTCCAATTCTTAAAAGTGGATGTATGACGCTGCTCTACGGCTTAGAAGAAGCGTCTCACGAAAATCGCCGGCAGCGCCGCTTTCAGGCTTCTCTTTGTCCAAACGCACATCTTTCTCGGCGAAAAAGCGGCGATAGACAAACAAAGGGATCGCTCATTCCAGTATATATATAGTTCAATATAGAGGGACTCTAGTAGTAAGTGTATATACATAAGGTTATATATAAGAAGGTTAAGGGGATCCAAAAGTGACGGCCGAACTCCGACGGGTTAGCGCCCTCATCCAAGCGTAACTAAAATTATCGATAATACCGACCGAAATTATCGATAATATCAATAATTTTAGTTCCGCTGTTACCGATATGAATATTTTTGCATGTTCTATGCATATTTGAAAAAGAATTGTGTTCAATATGTGTTGAAATCGGACAACATCGGGTATTTCTACTGCTCTATTGCCTCGCACGCATATCTAAGCGTATTTAAGCGTATAGATAACAGTATAATATAGACGTGTCTGCCTTTATCACATATTTGAACATAATTTCACATTGTTCATACGGGCTATGTGTCTTCCCATATATCTTCCAAGAGGAATAACATTTGGTTAGGTGTTATATATATAATTGTGTATACATATATATGTATATGTATAATATTTACATAGACGTATACAGATGTATGTGTATGATATATATACATATATTCTGAATATTCATAGCTGTAACAGCTGAGCGCTCACGCACACTACCAGGCGCGCGGCTAAAGGTCGACGCTGATTGGCCAGAAGTTACTTAATAATAACTCCTTTATTAAGCGTTATAGAAAAAAATGTTACAGGACTTTTCTGTTCAGAATAACACCCTCTACCTTCCCTTAAAGGGTGTTGCGCGAATTTTCGGACACCCTGTGTAAATATACCTTATATATAAATAATACTAACCTCTTGACCCTTATTCTTTTTAAGGAAAGTCTTCGGACAGAGAGAGGCAAGCGTTTCTCATTATATTTTTGTCCCATTATGTGGACACACTATATATATTAAAAATTAAAAACACAGAAACACAGTTTTTTGACTTCAACGTGTTATAACGCGTTCTAACGGTTGAGCGCGCGATAATCTCTTGTTACGCGTATGTACAAAACACACGCGACAAACTGAGACTGAGCTGCCGCTCACTGATATGATCGCGTTCGTCTGTTTGCATGTGTGTGTGTGTACAGCCGACTTACTGTCCGATACGTACATACTTACGTACTGACTGCTATAGATATCGCGTTATGATGAAAATGAAAACTAATGCACATCTTTATAAATGTTTATCTTAATAAATGAATATTGTACAACCGAATAAAAACATTGTTTTTATATTGCTAAATTAATTTTATACATAAAAACATTAATTAAATTTAACGAAAACATTATATAAAATGTATACTCTTTGATGAAATGCCGAGTGCGGGGTTTACTGATTAGGCACGTGCAGATTACAAATGTTTTATATTAAGTAAATGTTGACGGCACAGGCCGATAACTAAACTGTGATTTTATCATCTTTTTCCACTTTTCATATGAAATGTTAAACTCCGCCCTCCGCTAGGAAAGTAAAAGATATTCAAGCTTTTATAGAATTAGCCGGATATTATAGAAAATTTATTGAAAATTTCTCTAAAATCGCGAAACCACTAACGAAATTAACCAAAAAGGAAAATAAAGAGTGACCCCAAAAATCGCCTATTTTTGGTCCCGCGATATTGGAACTGAATTGTGTGCCAAATGATACCTTATGACAAGATATCAATCACAAAAAATTTTTAAGTTAAGGTGAGCATTGGTTCCAAAGATATGGAAAGTCAATGTAATTAAAATTCACTAACGCGTGAGCCCATACTTTAAAGCACGAATTTTTATGCCAGCATGAGGGGATGTGCTGGCACATGGAGGGGATGTGCTAGCAGCGCTCGGGCGGTAGAAGAGCGCAGACATACAATCTTGTTACAATACATACAATCTGGTTACAATCTTACTTGCTACAATCTGCTGTTTTTTTGAGAGAGCACAGACATACAATCTTGTTACAATACATACAATATTGTTACAATCTTACTTACTACAATCTGCTGTTCTTTTGAGAACTACTTCCCGAATCAGGATCTTTTTCAGGATTACTGTTCTAATCAGTTCTTTTCAGAACTACTTTCGCAGTTTTCTTCAATTTTGATTTCATCTTTTGATATTTTTAACGTTCTCCATTACATAATGTCTTCAGCCACTTGCTTAGGCTGCGAAGAGCAAAAACGAAGGAAAGGTGAAAAGTTTTACTTTGTTGACAACATTCCAAATTCATTGCTTGTTATTAACAACTTGCGACAAACTTATAACGCGAAAAAACGAAAATTAGTTGAAGTAAGCAATATTCCACCAAAAAGCAGAGTCTGCCACAAATGTTATAAACTGAGTTAAAAACCATGCTTGTCAATGTCCCACTTTGATCCAAATGTACCTGACTTATCTATTTATCGAAAAGGAAACAACTGTCATCTAGGATGTACATTTGGCTGCAAAGATATTGAAAACTTGATTTCAGTTCCAAACATGATTCGTCATGAGCTACTTATGAATTATAACTTTTTAGCTAAACGCGATGCCCGTATGTGTAGTAAGCATGTAGGCATTACTAATAGGGTATTATAAGGTTTTTTAAAAATATATTTTTTTAAAGTTCATACCCTATTTAGTTATTAAAATTTTTTCCGTTTGCTTCAAAACGTTCGATTTGTATTATTTTTTAATTATGTAAAATATCATAATTTGAAGCGCTACGAAAACGCGCCAAAAGCAGCCAATATGGCGTCGGAGCTGCGTGACGTCACTTCGTTACTGTTGGTGATAGTACTGTGATAGATCAAGCCATAGAAGTTTGTATGCAAACCAGTAATAATTTATATTATAATAAAGATATGGATAAAGTACGAGCCTACCGACGGTGCTTTGTACCAATGTGTAAGAATACACAAAAAATAACACCAAACAAGGTGTTTGTAAGTGTACCGCAGGACAAAACTAGACGGCAACTGTGGTTCAAACTTGCCCGTCGTATAGATGAACCAACATCGTCAAATTATTATTGTTGCGAAGATCATTTTCATGTAAGTGCTGCATTAAACAATTTTGTAATTCGTATTATAACGTATTGAAATAAAATAATCGCATTCTAATCTAAAGTATATAACTAATAAAGTAGTTTATTTGTTAAAAGAATTATTATTCTATTATTTACATGCATATTTATATTATAAGAATTTTAATTTTCCTGTTTTAGTTGAAAGAAGATATGGAAAATTTTATGATTTTCAAATTAATGGGAGCACCAATAAAAATGAAGAAACATGCAGCACCTCATATTTTTGATTGTCAACCTGACCGTCGAATAGCTGCAAGTACTCACGACCGAGTTGCATTTAAAAAATTAAATCATAAAAGAATGATATCCGAAATACTATCTCATTGCGAAACTCATGAAACCAATGAAAATAGATCACCAAATGTTAAAAGTAACAATGAAATAGTTCCAAAAAAAGTATGCAAACAAAAAGAAATTTCAACAAATGAAAACTGTGCTTCGATAAGTTTTTCAATACTTACAGAAAATAATAAAATAAACAATGAAATTGATTTTTCAAATATACCGAGCAAATCAGATAGTATTAATATTGAAAAAAGCAATGCAGTTCCATTAATCGTTACAGAAAAAGAAGGAGAAGTATTATTGCAATCGAATGACAAAATAGAAATTAATAAGAAGTGTACTTGGGATAAAGAAAACAAGAACACGAAGGTTTTTTTTAGAAGTAAAAAAATTCAATGCAATATAAAGTGCAGTACTGTTGAAGAAAGTTGCCAAACACTGCCTAATACTGTAAATAAAATGTGTTCACCCATTAATGTACCAACGGAGAGTGACAATAGCAGTGCAGTTGTAATCGATTCTTCCAAAACGATTACAACTGGTACTACTGGGAGCGAATATGAACCATGTCATGAAGATTATTTGCAGTATTGTGAAGAACAAGACCTACAAGCAAAAAGAAGCGCTTTACATTTAACAAATTATTTTATTAGCACACAGACAAAACAATACATTGGAATTCCAAATGACTGGTTATGGATTGTTGATGAACTGCATAAACGCACTTGTTTATCAACAGAAAATATAAAATTGACTTTGATGAAAATCAAACTGAATGACAATTTTGTAAGATTAGGTAACCAATTTGGAATCAGCACAGCAGAAGCATCAAAAATTTTTCAAGACAGTGTACCAAAATTATGTCATTTCTTAAAAACTCTTATTTATTGTCCTCCTAGAGAAAGCGTTAAAATGGCATTATCTATACCGTTTCGTGCAAATTTTGCTCACGTTTATGGAATAATTGACTGTTTCGAAATTCAAATCGAGAAACCATCAAACGCTCTTCAACAGTCTTTAACGTGGTCAGAATATAAAAAGTGCAATACATTGAAGTATTTAATATGTTGTACACCGGATGGATTAATTTTATTTCTTCTGGTTATGGAGGTCGAGTAAATGATGTTGAGTTGTTTGAACAATGCGGTATAATGGATGTTTGCCAAAAAAATATGGAATTATGGCAGATCGTGGTTTTAAGCAGATTCAAACATCTTTAAATAAAATTCAGTGCGAACTTATAAGATCTCCTAGTGTAAAAAGTGGAAGTAAATCGTCTAAGACAGAAGTAATGTTAACAAAGCGTATAGCAAGTTTAAGAATTCATGTAGAACGTGTGATAAGAAGACTACAAGAATTTTCACTTTTGGAACCACATTCTACTTTAAACCATAACATCATGCCATACATAGATGATGTTGTTCGTATTGTAGCAGCTTTAATAAACCTCCTAGCACCTATTATAAGAACATAATAATTTATAATTATTAATATAAAATTATATTATACGAAAAATAAAAAACAAATTGTTCACATAACAAACTTTTTATTAATGCATATTTTATCTTAAAATAGAATTCATCAATTTACAATAAATATTTTTTTTCCAGAAATTGATAGCTTGTTCTGTTACAGCTGTAGTATAATCTTTATTATAATCTACCCAAACCGTTTTCACTTTTCTATTATTTTCGAAATCAGGATCAGCAACACAAGATAAACCCTTTTTTGTATTTGTAGCTAGCATTTGAAGATTTATTTGTGCTTTGCACCTAGAAGCTATTTTTCCTTTCGATAGAAATCGAGAAATAGCTTTGTCTGAATTTGGACACTTCACTTCACTTCCACAATAAAATCATTACCCATAGCATCCGGAGAAGCTCCCAAAATCGGGTAATTTGGCATTAAAAAAAGACCACAATTTTTCAGTTTTTGGCCTACTATTTTCTCAACTTCTTTAAGTACTTCTTTCTCAAGACATTTCCCTCTTTCCATTTCTTTTGTATCATATACTTTGGATGCGCCAGTGATCCGCTGTACAAGACTTCCATCTTCGGTGTTACAATTTGCAGTTTCATGTAATATCGATGCAGTTATTCTACCGTAGCGAAGTTCGAACCATAAATGGCTGTTACTTTGCATTTTAGTTGCATTTTCCGCTTCAAAACATAATTCTTTTGACATTTTGGAAATACAAAATATTAAAAAATCATCTGCAGTTTTCATTCCACTTGCTGAAAACTCAACAATCAGTCGATGCATTGACAATGAGTATAATCGGCGTTCCTTCAGTTCAAAATGATGTTGCGATAACTGACTGTCAAGTTGCTTCTCCTTGGCTATTTTCACAATGTCCTGCAGAAATGTTGCGTTGTCAGGAAAATTTTCTATATTCTGTACTTCTTTTTTGTACAACTCCTTAGTTTCAATGTATTTTTTAGTTGCTCCAATAGTTGATAAAACAACCTTTTTCCAATAACAAGCAACCTCTGTCGGTGCTGGATTTTCTGTTCGTCTGTGGATCCACATTAAAAAGGCTACCGAATGTTTACAACCACCTAAAAATATAAATAACAAGTAGAGTTGTGCAAATTAGAAACTTGCACATTGCTTCCTCATCATTTTATCTTACAATGCTTAAGCTGCTTTAAGCATGCGGATTTTTCAATTTTTGCTTCCTCATAGAGAAAGCTTTGTGAGCAAAATAAAAATTAAAATAATTTCTTTCACCGATCCTCACTAAATTCAACATCAAACATCCTTTAATAATACTCTACTCATGTAAAAAAATTTAATACAATATCTTAAATTTTCTGAAAGTTACAGCGTGTAAAGACATTTTTCAAAAAATTCAAAATTTTATAAAAAATAAACCCTTTCATCGATACTCACCAAATTCAATACCAACCATGTTTGAATGATACTCTATCCATGTAAAAAAAAATTAACCCGGTATCTCAAAAATTGCGGAAGTTAGAGGTTGTACAATATATTGCGTACATACATCATACACACATACACACATACACACATACATACATACATACATACATACACACACACACACACACACACATACACACACACACACAC